CATCTAGGCTGTAAAGTTCAGGTGGAGATTTGGGAGGATCTGAAAGATTTGCTTAGTCATACAGAATTATTTTACCTTAGGGACTTACACAGCTCAAGGGTTATTATTGGTAGCTATAATAACAATCAGCTCTTACGTACTGCTTTTCATTCATATGTCTCTGAGTGCATAATAGAGAAAGGTCAATATCGGCTTAATAGAAGGAGAAACCAAAGCACAGGAAGGTAAAGTGATTTGTTTGTGGCTTCACAGCTGGGGTGTCACCACCAAGGGAAGAAGTTGGAAGTAAATCACAGAGACTTTTAACGCTGTTTCATGCTACTGACTTCATGCTACCTAACAGCTATCTGGAGACCTGTGCAAAGGAATTTTGCTAGCCTTGGCCTGTTCTCTTCCTAAAGATGTCTGCCACAAAAGGTGCTGCTGCTGGCATTTTCCTGACAGATCACGGATTGTTTTTTTCCATCTGTGTAGGCTGATGCTTTCCAGGTCAGGATGAAGACATGAGGATGACATAGTTGCGAGTAGCTATTGTGTAAAGCCCATTTTCCGCATAAGTGGAGGACTTAATTTACATTCAGCACTTTGATCTCTTCAAACTCTAGCAGTATTTCCACCTCCAATCTGAGGGCCTCATTGGGACATAAGAGGGACACAGTCACAGAAAAAATAGCATATAAGAAGGGGGAAATGTCACTTGCATCTAAGTGACAGTTTCATGTCTGAAGTGCTAAACCACTGTTCCTACTTGCTGCTAAAGACTCAGAGGAGAAGTTAGCAAATATATAAATCAGCCAATCCATTTTCATACTTTGACAGTCTGGGCCCTTGGGAGACTCTGCCGTGACTCTCTGTTCTAGCATTGCATTTCACATTAATTTAAAATGCCTAAGAAAAGAACCCTTGAGTCTGCTTTGTAGGTTTTGTAACTCTATTTGTCTCTTACTGCTGCTCTGCTACAGATAGAGGAGGGAAGTGGGACTGACACAGATGCTGTCCTGTGCTGGTGATTCTAACTAAAAAGCTAGCCTGGATGTACATGGATATAATGTGATGCCAACTGCAGTGTTCTCTGTTACTCTGCAGTTGTTGGTTTGACACATAATTTTAATTCACAGTGGTTTTGATGAATTTAGAGGGAGCTTTAAAATACAGGTCCCTTTCAGAAACTGGATGATGATTTTGCAGTCAAGTTTAAAAGGTATCCATGAGTGCTGAGCAGAAATTGTGTAATGCATCACCTGTTTGTAACTCACTGGAAGGTGTCAAAATGTCAACATTCATTTTTAGATAGAGGGATTAGTACGTGGCCTTAGTTACACTGTCTTTCAAGGGTGCTGTGTAAGTTTTGGACAGTAGCACAATAAAACCAGAAAGCATCTTTATCTGGACCTGATGAATTACTGAGCTGGAGAGCTTCTCCATGTGTTTCCAGATGTATCAATCTAATAAAAAACTGTCACTTCTGCTGACAGATTTTGCCTCTCTTATCTTTAAATCGTAAAAGCTATAACTGTAACGTAAATCTAAGCCATACAAGGCATGTAAATGCATAGTGAAAGAGGTATCATTCTCAAGATGACTATTAATTGAGGTGAGGTTTTAGAGTGGTTTTCCCCCTACAGATACTGGGAGATAGGGAAGGCTGTTCTTCCTGCCGTTCTCAATAGGAAACTATTCTGGTTTTTGGCATATGCCAAGAGAGTATATTTTAGCAAAAATAATAAATCTTGCTTAAAACACAGTGTGTGAACATAGAGCAAAAGTGAAACCGCAGTCTGATGTGGGTAGTTTGAACAGCTAATAGTATTCTAACAAAATCAAAAGGAAAAAATGTCTTGTGGTTTTTGCTAAGTTTCTGAAAGAACTTGTGTTTAATTAATATTAATTCATAAGCTTATTAACAGATTTACTTTTCAGATTTTCTGAAAATTAGTGCTGTTCTCAGGAAGTACAGTAATTGTGCAGAGAACATGTTATTATTCATTGCTTAAAGGAAACCTAGCAACCTTTGCTTTATGTGCAAAACTAAACTTGTTTTCAAAAGAGCTGATATGCTGTTAACAGATGGTAGAAGGAGCAGTAGCTCTGATTGCAAACCTGCTTTGCAGCACAGTTTTTACTATTTGCTACTCTCGAGGTGCCAGCATTGTACAATAAAATGAGGGTTCCCCAAATGAACCTCTGTGATTCTCCTTTGTGATATGACTGGTGCAGATGCATTTTGCTCAGATAATTTAAGCCGTTTTCACTGTCCCGTGCCACCTTGTGCGTGTTGTGGCTGAGAGTAAGGGGGCAACTTCTGCTACACAGTTACACAGCGTATTAAGGGGAAGCTTTTTTACCTCAGGATTAAAAGAAATGTCTAGTGCTGTTCATGAATTTGTTTAGATAACTCCAAAGCTGTGCCATTTAAGTCAGGAGGGTAACCTAAACATTTTCCACATGTTCAGTTTCTGCTCTAAAATGTCAATGTGGGGATTGGATTGAGTCCCAGTAAACTGCCTGAGACTTTTTTAAAAAAGAAAAAAAAAAAGACCCTACCATGGCATTGTACCACGTTCCTTCACTTTGATAGAATTAATGTTATTAATCACAGTCTTTTTCTCCTTCATTAAGGAGGACAAATTAAAACTGTTTTGCAGAGTGAAATACAGGTTTGAGAGAATATGAGTTGTGGGCTTTACTCTTTGGAAGAGGAAAAGCCTTCCACTCATGGCAACAATTTACAGGCACTTTCCCCCACATAGAAGCTTAATGAAGCTTTGACAAATAACAACTATTCTGAGTTCATGGAACAGTAATTGTTGTCAGGTGGTGGGTGGGGAAAAATAGGATTCTGAAATAATAAAGTGCAAATGTAGCTAGAAAGAATTGCAGAGCACCAAACAGCATTTTGAGCTGACCTCTGTAACATTTTAAACTTTAATTTATTTAATATGCTTAAATAATAATAAATTAGTAATTTAACTAATCCCTCTTCTTTAGAAGCTGCAACATATCCCCGGGGGCAAAAGACAGAGCTGTCACAGTACTAAAAATAAGATAGATCTTTTTACACTATGCCTAAGCTAACAAAAGAACTATTACAAAGAACACGAAGTACAGGAATAAAATACATCTTTCTTGGAAGTTACTGCTAATAGAAATCATCTCTGTGGAACAGCAATGTTTGAACTGTGAATGTGAGTAGTTACAAGTTTTCCTTGGCATCTTCCCTTAACAGTACCAGGAATGAGGACTCGAGCACACAGTCTGACTGGCTATTCCAGTTGGTTTCTTGGTGGCGACTCCTGTTTTGTCTCGGAAAATTGCTGAAATGGAAATAAATGTCCAGGAGGGGTTGATACAATTTGGGAGGTTACAGAAAAGTTGTACTGGGAAGAAATAGAAACTATGTTTTCCATTTCTTCTCCCTCACTCCGTTGTTTGCTCATTATAATCACATAGGATGTCTGTAATAACATTCCCACCGTAGTTGAAACAGGGAGTACGTACAAACAAGGTGCTGTTACCAGCACGTCTGAGCGCAGCCAACCTGGGAGGTCTGAGCTAGGAGTGTGTGGAGATACCGCTGCTTGTGCATCTGCTGTTACTTTATCTGCAGTAATTCAGTTGAATCTCATGCTCCTGTATTTTTAATGGAGCTTCCCTTGAACTTAAACAATATTGGCTCCATATGGTAAGATGAGTATTTCTGTGGGAGTAAGTCACTGTCACATCTACTGTAAAGTCTGTTTCTGTGCCCTGCTCCTATTCTCTGTCTGGGGTGTTTTATTTCCAAGACAAACAGTAACTGGAGGCCCCCGCTTGGATGATGTTCTTTATACATGCAGTGTTAGAGCTTTTGTTTTTAAGGAGAGAGTTTTTTTTCACAGAGCATGCAGGTGTGCTTTTCAGCCTGGCTAGTTTTTCTTCATAATATCAACATCGTTAGCTTGGTTCTTGTCATGACTGTAAATGTCTTTGTGGTAGAGCTCTATACTTTGGACACATACCCTCTTCTAAAGAATAATGCAGGAATCAGTACTGCAGGTCACGTTTATTCCAGTGGCAGAACTGACACCTTCATGGTCAGCTAAGCTGATGAAATGAATGGCTTTGCCCATTCACAGTCCAAGGTGTGATTAAACTATAATGGCTGAAGCTGGAGCTATTCTATGTCGCACCCCATCTCCTCAAAGGATTCTTAATGTTGCATTCAGATTATTTACCTTTCCCAGCTTTAGGTTTCTTGGCCGCATGTGCACTGTGGGGTGATAAACTCTGTGGAGCTCTTTTTCCAGGAGTATGCCTGCATGTTAGCTCTCTTCTGGTTAGCACCCCTGGCTTTGCTTCCCGTGAAGGAAGAGGCGATGGCATACGCGTGGACTTGAATCTGTATGGAACCTTCATATCAGAGGGTGCACGTTTAAGAAACTGTCTATTTAGGATTTTTTTTGAGTGGCTGCCTCTGGCAATGTGAAGCTTCTAGAAAACATCACTAAAGGTTAAGTTCCCCTCATAACATAAACGTAAGTCTGCACACTATTGTTCAGTGTTTCAGAGTCTAGTTTGAGTCTTTAATCAAGCGAGATTTCTTGTCTATGGCACAGCCCATATTTTTAAGCATTAAAGAACATTTCCTTCCAAGCAGCTAATGATTTATTAACACTGAAGTGACCTGTTTGAAGCTGCTTTTTAAGCTGGTATTGAAAAACTCTTTCATTGAGGTAGCATCTCCCTGGTTTTTGTTTAAGTGTCTGTCGATGCTTTTCTTGACAACCAGATGAAACAGAACTGGTTTGCACTGCTGGGCCACATGTGTGTAAACATGAACCATTAAAGACAAGATATTTGTCAAGTTTGCAGCTTTGTATACTTTAATGTACTGGAGTATGGCAAACATGCAATGTGCAAGATTTTCCAGTTGGCTCAGAAAATACCCATGATAGCAAGTAATGTGACTGAATTTAAGGCTATTTCCTTAACTCTAGCTCTAAAATTTACATTGTTGCTACTCTCTCTTTTTTTTTTTTTTTTTTTTTTTTTCAACAAGAATCTTTCTGCTGGAGCCTTCTTGGCTTGATTTCTTCCATGAGCACTGTTTACTACCTGATACCAGTTTAACTGGAAAACATACTGCTCCTTAGTCCATACAGGCCAAGTATTTGATACACAATTCTAGGAATATACACAGTTTCATGCAGCACAGCACAGTGTGGTCTCTCCAACAGATTCTACTACTGTGCTATGGCATAGAGATGAAATCTTTTATTAAAAAGTACTTGATGTTGAGTACGTCTGTGTACTTGACACAGTCAGTACTCTTGACTGAAAATAAAAATTCAGAGCTGTCAGTTTTGGCACTTATTTATTTAATTTTCAGGCAGGGGACAAATGTAAATATGTAGCAGTAGAAACTGGCATTTTGAATTCCAAACACAATCTTAGTCGGCTTTCTCCTTTATGGAAAACAACCTCCTGATCTGTAATGAGCTTCTTATGCCCCTCCCCGCCCCCCAGCTAATGAAGTGTAATGTTCAGTGGTGTAACAGGGATCAGGATCCACTTCTAGCTTCCAAATGTTTGACTAGTTTGATTACTTAACCTCTGTGAATGTACTGAGCATTGGAATATATTTTGCATATTTCAGCCTAATATTGAAAAATATTATTTGTTTCTGTCAAAATTATATAATTGGGACACTTTATTAAACCATGAATATGTTCTCTCAGTTTTAATTCTACCTCTGGTAACATCAGAGCTTAACAGGATATCACATACAACTCTTTCTTCTTGTAATAATTATTCCATTTTAAAACACTAGGAACTTAAAAATATATTTAGATACTACCTTCCTATAAATTTCCATAGACATAGAAATGTGCTCCATGACACAACTGAGACTATGCAGTGGCTTTTAGAAAGCCAGATCTGAAGCAGTTCCCTCCAGAGGGTCATTCAATGAGTATTACTGATACAGAGCTACTACTGCAGAACAGTTGTGCTGAACCTCAGTCAGGCTTATGGTGAAGGAGCCACTCTGGCGTATTTGCTTACATGTATTTTCTTTGTAAATGTGAATTTAGAAGTTTCTTCTGTATTAAGCAGCAAAAATTACGTTATATTTATGAAGTACTGCCTTGGTTTGGTGGAAGTGGAACCTTTCAGCCAAGATCCACGTTGCAGGCTGACATGAACACTCAGTGTTGCCTTCCTGCAGGACTGCCACGTGGCCGCTCCCGCCGAGTCACCACAATATAATATACCCTTGAAAATGGAACAGTCTAAAAGTAGCTACAGTATTTGGCCCCACAAATGAATGTTTTTATGCAGAATTATAGGGCTTGTAATATTCCAGAAGTCAAGTAGTTTTCCTGTCTACACATCCCATAGTCCTTGTCCATCTGTGAAATACCAAATTAGACTGAATCATCAGATTTTCCTTACTCTTCTTTTTCAGACCACATTTAATATACTAGTGATTCTGCTGTAGCTGGGAATTGACTAGGAGGCTGCAAGGATATTTATTTTATCTCCTAGTAGTTGTCACAAATATTTGCCTCTTATTATGATTAACTCAAAATGACTCTGCTTGGTGGTTCACATCAATGCTGCCACTCAGGAAAAAAAACAACCCCAAAAGTCAAAAAAGTCGGAGGAAATGTGAAATCTGGGAGACAAGCTGCTTTGGATGTACTTCCATGCTGGCACATTCCGAGGAAATTCTAATTATGTTAATGTCTCAAGCTCTTTGCTTTTGCGCTTTTCTTTTTTTTCTTTTTAATTAGCAGAGTGTTTATGAAAGCCCCTTTCCTTTTCCCCCCCTGGATGTGTGTAAATGAGCCGCTGGCCCTGGCAAGGGCAGAGCCCTGGGGCAGGGCCCGTGGTGGCACCCCGAGGGGCGTTCCTGGCACTCACCCACCTGCAGCCAGCCACAGCCAGTCTTTCTTCTAGGCTGGTCCTTGTCATTCTTTGAGAGCGAAAGATCCCAAGCCCCTTTTGGTGTAGATCTGTGCACACAGAGACACCGTGCGATGCATTAGTTATGATTAATGGAAATGAGTGTGATCCTGTGCAGAAGTTGGTTGATGAGTAGGAGGCCCTGTCAGGCACTCCATTAAGGCTGCACAGGAAATTCTAAGGCCAGTTTGAGTTGACTTTCTCAACTGACTGTAATTTATGTTTGGATGTTCAGCTTTCAGACTTAAATCTTTTATGCTTTTTGTATAGAGACACTGAAAATGATTCCATCTGCTTTAGTCAATAAAGGGATTATAAGAAGCACATTCTGCCATAAGGCAGAAAACCTTAAGTGCAGTATTTTCTTTACAGTGTGGTTACAGTAGATGGCACTGAAAGATGTACGACATGAACACATTTTCTCTGCAGCAGGAGACACTGCAAATTTATAAACTCTTACAGACTTTATAGTTTTCAGTGTTGAAGAGAAAATCTGATTTTGAGTTACTAAGTTTGGAAAACGCCAGCCCCAGACACTAGAGCATAAAAACTAATGGTTTCCCATTTTTCTACTGGAATGGTGTACGCTGCATAAAAAATTGGACAGACCTCTCCTTTTAACTGACCCGTGACACCGAGACCAAGGCAGCCTGAGGGAGGAAGAAAGGTCTGCGGAGCGAAGCTTCTGCAGTAGTCACCAACAGCCAGCCAGCAGATCAGCATGTCCTTCGAGACTGCTACAGTCTCATGAGTTTAAGAGAATCCTCTGGTTTAGGGGTAGATCCACCAGTGACTGCGTGCATTTTCCTGGTCTTCCTCTGCCTTCACCCTCCCTGAAGCAGGTTAACAATGGGAACAGCTAAGAACACCATCCATATCCACTTGGATAAGTGTCTAACAGAGGACTGAACAGACCAAGGACAGAGTAATGCAAGTTGTTTATTACATCCTCTTCTAGTTGGAACAAAAACTGAAAGTTAACAAGGCATTGTTGAGTACAAATTCCCTTACTGCAGAGCTGACTTTCCAGTTATAAAATGAATCAGATGGTTCTTGGATAGCTGAAAAACAAGAAAACCAACCAAGCTGACAAAATTGTGTCTCTCTGAAATGGAGCTCTGCCTGTTATTTAGAGGTGTCAGATGAAATCTGAGCCTAGCCTTGTGAACGAGTCATCCATGGTTTTGTTTCCTGAGCCCTGGGTACAACTTTCCTCTGTGGGTATTGTCTTTAGTATTCCATGCAGTGTTGCCACATTACTTGTCAACAGGAAAAACATATGCTCAAAGTAGTTTTCTGCCTCAATCCAAATCTTGATCCCTGTTGGGAATTTTGATTTCCAGCTGTGTAAGTCTTGAACTGCCCAAGCTTTCAATAGAGTTGAAGACCTAAACCAGAACTTGACTCTAATTCGCTTGTGTGTCCACTGACAAGTATGTTTTTAAAAGATTGGGTGTAAGAGCAAGGGAGTGTGTTGCATTTTCATCTGGTTGACAGACACAGGGGCTGCTGCTGTTAGCTGAAGAATGTAAACACTTTGCTGAAACACAGCAAAAATCCTCAACACCTTTGTAGAAGAATGTAAAAAATCCATCAAAATCCCAAATGTGCTGTGGAACAGAGAGAACATGGTCAAAACAAGTATTTATTTCATGTTTCATATTTTTCCCCAGACTCCCTTGGCATGTTTTCCTTCTGCACCCTAGTTTTGCACAGACACCAAGAATCAGACTGCTGATAATTCTAGTATTACATGGCACTTGAGTGGTGGGCCTGAATCCTGCGGACGAACAACAGCTGGGATGCAAAAGGCGCCGCTGGGACGGGGAGCCGGAGGGATTGCTAAGGGCAGGAGAAAGCAAAATGTTTGGGTGTTGCAGATCAGAATGCAAACATTGGAGTAGTGGTGGTCAGGAGGAAGTTGTGTGCTAGCAGCAGGCCCCCGGGGGTGTGGGGGTGTGTGTGTGTGTGTGTTTTCAAAATGGAGCTAGGTGGGAAGTGTGGTGACAAAGGCCAACCCGTATACGCAGGCTGTACCGCCGGGGTGGGAAGTGGTGGTGTGTGAGCTCTTCCATTAATCGCCTTTTTATTTCTTCCTTCCCTTCCAGGTGCAAGTGGGAAGTACACCTCAGGACCAAAGAATTGTGGGATACATTTCCTGCACTCACTTGCAAGCTATTGCAGGTACTGTCCTAATCTGCATATCTTAGTTTTTCCCTCAGTGTTTCTAGGCCCACGGCGGTATTCGCGTGCAGAAGTAGCAAGCGTTGCTCCTCTGGGATTTCTGACAAAGTGCAGCGTGCGTTGCAAATAGCAGTGAAATAGCGAAGAAAGAAGGGGAGGCAAGTATATTGCCAAGCCTTCGCATTTTCAGTCTAGGAGTAATTAAGTATTATACGACACAAACCAAAAATATCCCTTGAGAGCTTTTCCTCTCTTTGCTCCCTCTTAACCAAATACTGTTATTTTAGCAAACACATTACTGTCATCATTACTCAACAGCATTTAACAACCCATACTGTGAATATCAGCATACAAACTAAAATGTATTTGTACTTAACTAGGGGATTATCAGAAGATACAAGTTGGAACAGGTTTTCCATCAGAAATCAGCAGTTGGAATGAGCCCAAATTCTCTGCTTTTTGACCTGCAAATTTCTTGCATAAATGGCTAGCAAGCTAATACACTCATTGAAAAATTCTCTTGGTCATGTTTAATAGCAGTTCCACCATTACACTTCCTGCTGCATGACACAGCATGCTCTGTGTCCTTTGCTTCATGAAACAGTATCTTCTAAAGTTGTTCAACATAAATAAAATGCAAAAACTCCTAGCAGGGTGTGGAAGACTTCTTTTTTGAATTCTTACTGAATTATCTTAAAAAATAATGAGATCTTCTTTAATGGTAGATGTCTGTGTCTGTGAGATATGTAGGCTCCACTGCTTCCCATAGCCAGACTGGAGTTTCATGCAGCTCTGTCAGGTTGTGATAGAGCCTGTTCCTCCTCAGCCATCTTATGACCTTTTATGACCTTTTTTTATGCCAGTATCTCAACGCTCAGCTCTCCTTTTAATATTACTATTCAGAACAAGACTGAGCTGGATGGTCCATTTTACAACACAAGTCCAGAAAGCAAGGGGAAGAAAAGTTTGTAACTTTGGGTTGCTTTATTCCATTTTTAGTGTTCTCATGCTTACATTTTGAAATCAAGACACCTCTCCCTTTTATCTGTTCACCTAAACACTCATCAATTAAAAGTGATAAATACTTGAAATTCTTGGAGATGTTTATGGAAAATTTTCCATGCATCTCTCCTGTCTTTTGCATCAAAACTATCAATTCTCTACTTAGTTTTACTCGATGCAACTCCTGACAGCTGGAGAGCACGACACAGCCCTCCTTGACTGCTTGAAGACCGTGTGCCCGCTGCAGGCTGAGGCACGAGTCAGGTGTTAGGGCTGTAGGCTGCCGCCGCCGCTGTGCGCTGCAGCGAGCCCAGGCTCACCCAGTCAGGCAGCTGGTCTTTGTCAGTGCTCCAGCTGCATACAGACAGACCCGGGAACAAAACTGCTGTCCCTGAAGTACATTACAGAGGCTGGATAGTTCTAACGAAGATTCATTAATTTTTCAGCTACATTTTAACAATGTAACATCCTTCTCTGCTTTTCTATTTTTAACTCTGGAATTATGGTAATGGACTGTGAGATTGCTGTTGTGGAGCTGAGATTTGTTGCTGTTATAGTTTAGGTTATAAACCTTCACTTTTAGACCTCTTCCTCTCTACTACCTAGTCATGTATTCTCAGTTAGTCTTTGATAACCACACTGTGAAATCCCTAAAATACTGAAGATGAAGAGGGGGGACGGAAGAAGACTGGGGAGGTAATGTTCTGTTTTCAAAGTCAGCCTAAAGCTTCTTCAAGGGTAACATGCAACCTTTCATTTTCCTACTTACATTCTTGATTTGTATTTTTAGGCTTATCTGGTTCAAACTACATTCAAATAGAGCAAACAATGATTTAAGAGTCTGTCCTTTGATATATCATATTAGTTTATGTAATGAAATGGAAAACTAAAGTTCATAAGTTTGGCAGAGCTGTGCTTTCTGATTTGTATCATCTGATTCATAACATTTCAACATTTAAAAAATTATGCAAAAAACAGTTCAACGATGTAAAGATGTGGTATCTATAAAAACAAGCCCTGTTTAAAAGGTTAGCCATTTAAATCATCTTGTCATACATGGCTAAGTGCAGTTTGGCTTCCCTTCTAGGATACATAAACTTACACTTGACAGTTGTGATACTTGCATGAGTATAAAATGAAGGGATCCAACTGCTTATGGTCAGGGATGCACTACTAATGCTTTTTTCAAGTGAAGTGCTGGCTCAACTCTGTTCTGAGCAATTACTGTTTTTTCAGACCTGACATTCACCTCTTTCAATAAAAGTTTAGAATTAGATGTAGCTTATCCTCTCAATTCTCTATTACTGAATGGTGCTATGAAGCAGCTCTTAATTTCCTCTGTGGAAGTAGCTACGTTTCAGTGACAAATGAAGGGATCCTTTAATTAAACTTGAATGTAATTACTTTCCATGGGGCTGTTAAGTTTACATGGTTCTTCTATGTTCTTCAGTCAGTCAGCGATTAATGTTCTGGACAGGTTTTGCTGCCTAGAATCCTCCCACCTCCCAAGTCCCTCTGAGTCATGCCTTTCAGACACCCCACCAAGTCAGCAAATCAGAGTAAGCCTCAAGGTATTCCAGCCCAGGTCCAGATCATGTTGGATGCGATCTCGTAACCTCCTTCATGTCCCTGTTTGGCATTTAGTGGGAATCCAGGCAGCAGCAGTACAGGTACTGGCAACTCACGCTTCTCTAGCACCAGCTTCAAGTGCCACAAGCCTGCACAGCTTAAGCAGAACTCGTCTCGGGACTGAGTGAGATCCCGCAGTGTCTGAAATCCTGACTGTGCAACCAGGAGTAACTTGAGCACTAAGCATCCTTAGGCAGCGGTTCCCCGTATGTTTCTGAAATAGCAAAGCTGGTGTCTCCTCACCGTGGCAGCCTGCCCTTGCCCCTCCTCTCTGCTGAGCTCACACTGCTGTCCTGGGCTGGCTGAAAAGTAACCCGGCAGAATGAAAGGGTGGGTTTTGTTGGTTGTGGTTTGTTTGGGTGGTTTGCTTTTGTTTTTTCTCAGCCTATCCTGGATTAGGTATGTTAAAAGTGTAGGGGTCTGCTTCATCTGTCGCACAGTCAGGTCTCATGGCTGAACTGAAGCCTTTGGTCGTGACTTGGAAACAAGTTTTCATTTCGACTAGGCTTTACAGACTGTTTTTGCTCAGCTTCTGTGCCAATATATCCCCTAGTGCTTATCAGTGCAGAGAACTCTGGTTTTAAAAACCTCCACTGGATCTTTTAATTTCCTTTGACTAGGCCTGTCTGCTGCTTTGTTCAACCACCACAGGGCTCCTTCTAATGCCTTTCAGAGGAGGACAAAACAGTCTTCCTCAGGGGATAGCACCTACCTGCAGTTCTAACTAAAGCCAGGATTTCACTTAAGCATTTCCAAAATGCATGGGAAGGGCAAGTATAATTATCCTATAATGAACAAAGGTGAAGTATTTATTTATGCTGGCTGAGGTTTCCCACACTACCCTTTCATCCTTCCACAAAATTTGAAGCTGAAGGGAACTTGCAAAGAATCTGGAAATGCTGACTGCAGGAACCAGTCGCGACACAATTACTTGCATTTTTCCAGGTCAGTTACTGAGGAAAAGAGTGTAGAGCAATTAGCAGAAACCTGTACGCTCTGGTTAATCACTGGTGGCAGTCAATCAGACCAGTGATTCTATCTGAATGTTTAATTAGAGCTGAAGGCTGGAAAAGGAGATGAATGTTAGTGATGGGAGTTAGTACCTAGTTCTCGTCTGTTAATATTTACTGATGCTGTTTCTTTTCAGCAGCGGTTTCTGAAATGTCTGCTCCCGATTGTTCTGGATTCAGGTTTGGCTTTTCTTCCACTTAGGTGTCTCAGTTCAGTTACTCTCATCTCCAAAGCTATTGATCGTTGGGAGCTGGTAAGACTGAGTCTCACTAGTCGCTTTTGCACACAGATTCATGCTGTATCTGCTGTGTAGCTGCAGTAAGCTGGATCCCGTTAGTTTAATATTAATCTCAGAAAACCGTTATATTCAAGGTGTGTTAGAGGATCCCATCTTTTGTCATGGAAATGTAGCTCACTTCACTGCACACGCTCCATGTCTGTACTGAAGTGCAATTACTTCTCTGACCTCTAGTGGGGATAATCAGAGATGCCAGACTCTCTCAAGTTCTAAGCTTTTTCTAAAAAGAAATGAGTCATCTGTTTCTAGAGTTCCAAGGCTACTGTTTTTCTGTAGAGCCCTGAGGTTATCTGGTGTACAGTGCTGCTACACAGGTGCCGTGTTCTTACCGAGGGAGCTAGGTCACTATGTAGTTAATGCTTTTTTTAATAATAGCAATGCATGTTACCAGATACTTTTCACAATATCCTCCTCAAACATTTTTGCCTGTCTTATTTTTCTCAAGAGTTTTCCGGTTTCAAGAATTTTACCTGTGTGCATTCCAGTTAACTAGGTTTGCTACGTTCTTCACGCCGGTCTGTGACAGGTTGCTGCCTGAGTTTTATGCCCATCTGGTAACAGTTTGTATTATTTTATCACTCATCCTAGTGAAGCCAAGCTAGATGGAGAATTCACAGAAAATGCAAAAACCCCTTGACAGTTCAGGGTTTATTTATAAGAAATTCATATAATTGGGACTTTGTAGGGAGCAAGAAAAGTTACTGCATTTTTAATTTACATTATGAGGAAACAACGGCAGGCCAGAAGAAAGTACTAGCCTAAGGAGGTGAAACAGAATAGAAAGATTCCGGTGCTACAGGAGGATAGTCCATGAATTTGAATAAGCTTCATCAGGAATGAGAATGCTGGGACTGTTCCTTCTCTAGGAGGAGAAGGCTCAGGAAGGGTCTTATCAAAGTGTGTAAACACCTGACGGGAGGGCATAGGGAAGATGGAGGCAGACTCTCCTCGGTGGTGCCCAGTGACAGGATGAGAGGCAGTGTGCACAAGCTGAAATGCCATTTAAACAAAATACGTTTTTTTATTGCAAGGATGACTGAGCACTGGACCAGGTTACGCGGGGCTCTGGAGTGTCCAGCCATGGAGATCCTCACAGCCTGATGAGTGGTGCTGAGCAGCCTGCTGTAGGTGACCCCACTCGAGCAGAGGGGTTGGGCTGGATGATCCCCAGAGGTCCCTTTCAGGCTCAGGCTTTCTGAGAATCTGTAATTTCATCTGTATCTTTAGATAAGCAGAAGGTGCACGTTAGTCACGCACACCTTTTGTGGTCAGTGTCACCTGCTCCAGGCTGTACTTATTCCACATGACCTATTTTTTGTGCTTTTGTTTAGCTAAGTCTTCACTGTAGAGCTTTTTTTGTGCTGTCGTAGCAAGGGGTTTTCCCAAGAATACGTTGGTCTGGATTTGTGTCAAGCTGTGTGATTAGGGTACTAGGTGAACCTGAGGTATAAGTAACTAGAAATGGTAGGTTATAGATCTATAGGGAATAGATCCAGGAAGCACTTGTACCTGTTTTGGTATTACAGCCCAACTGATAAAGATTTGTCGGGAATAACACGAGTGGAAGACAAAGATCAGGTTATTTGCTGTTGGAATTATCAGTCTGAAGAGATGAGTCACTGTCAGAACCTACTTAAAGCGCTCTCTTGCCCTGGTCATGTTCTTTTCAATCTTTTAATTATTTAGGATTGTATCAAGTAATGCTCGGTTGAACATATCTGATCCAGTTTGTATTTAACTGCTGTTTTAATACCCACCCCCCACTGAACTTCATAAAGGGATAAGCACTATACACTGAATATACCATTAGACACACCATTTTTTCTTGTGTACCCTTTTTCTCAAGACGTCTAGCAATATCATGCTACCCAGCCACATGTAAGTTACTAAGCTAAAATGAGGTCTTATTTCTTGTTTTGCTTGGCTGTTTGTTTGTTTGCTACAGGAGACACTACTGTTCGGTGTGAGCAACTGGATATGCTTCAAGATTGGCTGTCTGAATTCAGAAAATCTACCTCCTCCTCCAGTACAGCCAATCCAGAGGAGCTGGTGGCTTTTGACGTAATCTGTGGAGATCTCAACTTCGATAATTGCTCCTCTGGTAAGACAGGGTTTTCCTTTTCCTGGTGTCTACCTGTTCCAAAAAGGAACAGAAAAGTTCTTGATTCCTGGGGGTTAGAGCAGTGTACTAAATTGTAACTGGCTTTTGCAAAGAAAGACTTAATTGCTACGGATTCTGCTGTAACAGATACTGGCCTCGAGATGAGCCAAGGAGAAGAGCTCACACTTAAGAGCTCTGCTGAGTTTTTAGGCATGATGTTTTTTAAGGCACAAAGGGCAGTAATTTGTAACTTGAGATAGAATGAGGTAGACACCTATTGTCGTAGAATGGTAGTTACTGATGAAAGACACGTATGTTAATGGAATTTTGGTAGAGAAAGAAGTAGTAAATTCACACAGTTCAAAATAATCTGATAGTGCATATACACTGATGTAGGAGATTAATGCTGCAGCAAGAACTAAACAAATGCTGAATCAGTCTTGGAAAAAATCAACTGATCCTGTGTACTTCTGGGTTTATTTTAATAAATTTTTAATATTTTTCTCCAATATTTGGATGCTGAGGGTACTAGAAAAAGAACTCCACAAAACCATAATTAATGGGTGGCGAGTTCAGAGAGACAGCAGCCTTTTTCAAACGTAAATATTACGCTGTTAACAGTTCAATTGCCAGCAGAGAGTGAGAGTGTTGTGTTTGCGTACCCTCCCTGCTCGGTACAGCTCTGGTCCCAGCAGAGCTCCTTGCTGGCTTTATGCAACAGCAATTGACTGAGCTGGCAAGGGCCTGGCGGTGCCCCGCAGCGCCCTGCAGCCAGCCTCCCCGAAACTGAAGTACAGAGAGACAAAGAACACAGGGCCCTTACAGCTGAGCTCAGGCTGCAGGGCTGAAAGGGGGAGTCTGCAATGCAGGCCAGGGTTGGGGGATTAGCAGGTGAATTTGTGAACAGCATCGAGTGTTAATTCTGTAGCCTTCATAAGAAGCCTCGGTAACTGGGACTGAGCAACAACTGTACCAAAAACTATCTTAGGAAACAAAAAGCAAGCATTGTTTGATCTCAAAAATAACCAGTATTCTCTGATCTCATTACTTGTATCTGACATTGGTAAGGGAAGATTTTAGCATTAACTGGGTAGAAAAGACCATCGACCCAAACCACAGGCCTTCTGTTGTTCGTTTCTAGATCATATGTCCAAAAAATAAATCAGGCACAGCTATATGATCCAAAGTAAACTCAGAATGGTCCGAGAAGGTGCTGGCAAGTGCTCTGACCGGTAGAAGAATCCGTTATGCGTGGTGGAGGTGAACAGTTAGTGGTAATGGCTAGCTAAACACACATTAGGATAAAATATAATGGTAGCAGTGGTAGTGAGATTTAGAGGGAAGGAAGGAATGCAGTCAGGAACGGGTCTTCAGCTAGCTGAGCTATGGCAGCAAGTGCTGCCCGGCCATGGAGGGAGACAGAAGCTGGGGGATACAAGTGGTCACATCTGCAGTGATTGGACTGCTTCGCTTCCACTATTGTTGGATGGATGGACTGGCCTGGAGGCAAAGGCGCCCGTCAAGGAAATAAACAATCCGCTGGGGAGGCTGCCCGGCCAGGTCGCCACTCGGCGGGGAGCGGGGCTTGGCAGCGTGACGAGAGCCGGGGGAGCCGTGAGGCAGAACAGACACTCTGTATTCTCTACCTGCAAAGTTCTGGCGCTCTGACCAAGATCTTGCACAAGAAGCACAGAATAAGATTAGTGCTTTCTAAAGAAAAAGTAAAACCAGCTCTTTGCTCTTCCAACTAACAGTTGTAAACATTGCAACTACTACTAAAGAGGACTGAGAAGTAGGTTACAAAAATCCATTTTATTTTTACTGTATCTGTTGCTTATTTACGTTCGCCCCCACCCCACCCCCCCTTTAAAATTCACTTAGCCTGGAAACTGAAATTAAGCTGGCTATTTCATTTTTTATTTTTAGATTGCTCTCTTTCCTTATGCACTAAGCAAGATTAATGCAATGTTTTAAAGTTTTCTCCTCCATTTTTACATTACTCATTGATTTAGGGACATTTGAATTCAACATATTAGGATTAATTTTTTTAAAAGCAATACTCAGCTTCCTGTAATTCTGTATATGATTTCCTATAGTCTTTCCAACTCGAGTGATATGGCAAGTAATTAATGTTACAGTGAATATCAAGCTTCTATTCTTAGATGTCTTGACAGTACAGTTTTCAAAGATCTCCAGGTCCATGAGTGACCTTACACTTATGACAAATTTTCTGCAACTGTTTTCCCCTCCAGCTTTACAGAACATTATGACAACATTCACAGTGAATTCACCCTTAGCAGGAACATTATTAGAAAGTTACTTACTCCCAGGTTGCTTTGGACTGACTTGTGTAGAAGCCTATTATGTTTTTAAACCTTTTAGCATAAGATAAAGAGCCTTCTAGTCAGATGAGTTAAATTTGTCTCATTGGCTGTGACTTGCTGCTGTCAATGCCACAGTTGCAAATTAATCATGACAAAATTTTATTCTATCTTGGTTTTGAGGGAAACTTTGTAAACCTGTAACAAGGGAAGACTTGGAGAAATGAAGAGTTGAACAGCTTTCATCTTCTGCTTTTCCATAAACTTTAAACAAACCAATTGGCTGTTCAGATAGAAAGAGCAATTCGCTGCATTGCATACCTGGCAAATCTTAGGGAGGGTCCGTCCTCCCATCCTCTGCACAACTCCTGGCTGCCCTAGCGAATTAATTTTCCAGTCTCCCTACAATTACAAGGATGTTCTCAGATCAAGAACTAGTTGGGGCATGGGAGGTGCAGGGGGAAGCTGGAAGGGTGTAATAAAACAGCTCAGCTGGGGTAGATGCAGTAGCTGAAGGACAGTCAGCTGTATTCATGAATCTTAGCAACAAAATGTCAAAACAGCTACAACCAAACAGCTAAAATGCCAACAGCTACAACCACCCTACCACTGTACTCCATGGCTGTGGGCTGCAGCCTTCTTAATAAGGAGAGAAAGGTCAATAGCTTCTTCACTTGGCAAGAACAGCATTTTACACAAGGAAAGCTAATGTGACTCCTACAGTGTGGGAGCTGCATTCTGGCCAAGACACACAGCTCATGGTTCAAAGCTTTGTTTCTGACTTCAGGAGTCCCTTTTCATGTGTACTTACGTATTCTGTTGTCCCAGCAATAGACGGTGACAAATGTGTTACAGCAGCAGCTCCAGCCACAGGTGAATGTCCTGTTGATCCCAAGAGAGAATTTTTAAGTGTTGCTGAGAAGTTTTAACCTTATAAAAGGTGTGAGTGCATGCTGCAAGAAAGTAAGTTATGAGGAGCTGTTGGCTGTTTCTTTGCCATTTAACACAAATGGAATTGCAGCAGCTGGTATTTTCAAGTCCTGGTTGTGCTTGTTTCCCAGGTAGAATGACTTCTGTGTTAAACAGCACGCACAGAACTAGAACTTACTTGTTCAGTGTCTGAAATTCTCACATATACATTTTTGTATGATATCTTTCTAAATCCTAGGAGCTTGATGCACCGTATACTTTAAATGCAAAGAACACAGTAGCAGTGAGGAATAAATTAATTTACAGTTGATAGGTCATGCTGATTACGTTTAGAATGGCTTTAATGCTGTAGATAATATCCCAGGCAAATTATCAATTGTCTGTCCTTTCTCTATTATAGCTTGGAAAATACTGTCAGTGAATTCTTCTGAAGAAAGTAAAGCACAAGCTTTTACCTTCAAACTTGCTGAGATGTGTATATACACCCACAAACAGCCATTTACATTGCCACTGTGAAGTCAGTCCAATTCTCCATTGTGTGATCTGTCTCAACAAAAGTTTTGTACAGGTGTAAACAATGCAATGTCAGTGGCAGGGTAAGAAAACATGTTGGAAAACTTTCCCTTCAGTTTACAGCTAAAAACTACCAAAAAATGTCGTTCCTAGAAAGATTTTGTAGGAAAGCACTGTTGTTAGCAAGCATTTGTTGGAATTTCTGAAGAAGAGAAGATACTGCTCTGCAGTAAAGCTACTACTGAACTGGTTCAAATCAACCCTATATATGTATACTGAGTAGGAAGGAAGACTTGCCTTTGCTGTTGTGGCACAACACACAGTTGTCCGCGGGTTCACAACATGGAAGTGATGTGCTGTTTCTTGGGCTTGTTCTTTCCCTGCAGAGGACAAGCTGGAGCAACAGCATTCTCTGTTTACACACTACAAAGACCCGTGTCGAATTGGTCCTGGGGAGGATAAACCGTGGGCAATCGGTAAGACCTTCTCTAGCTCTCGGTGTGTGAACTTTTACTTCTCTGTCACTCTTCACAACATCTATAAGCTCAGCTAATGGGCAGTAAGAATTTGGTGGAGACCAAATATTTACAAGGGGTATTTCTGTAACTGTATTTTATAAACCTTAACAGTGCCTTGTTGAATTATAATTAAGGACCAAACAGAGATCTCAAACTTCAGTCTGCATTCTAGAACTTATGCATCAAGCTCCTTGAGTGCCTTCCCACACCTATTCTACTTTTAAAATAATCTCTAGATTACTTGGGGTGGGGGGGAGCCAAATGATTGTTTCTGTACTTTCTGCATGCAGTGAAAGCCTGCAGCTTTTGATCAGAATGTTCCATTTGATGTTCTATAAATACTGTAAGTGAGGATGTAACAAAGCAATTCAACAACACTATGAACTTGCCGAGTTCATCTTATAAAAGATTTTATGGAACTCCAAGATACTCATACCTGGTGAAGTTTTAGATCAGGAAATAGACTTTCCCTAGAGTGCAGTTATAACCGTGAAGAAACTAAAGGTAAGAATGTGGAACGGTTTAATAATGTGGCTTTACTCTGCTGTAGCAGAAAAACAAACAATTGAGAGCCATTGGGGCTGAGAAACTGGAAGGGTGGAGGCAACGTTTTGCAAGGTGGCAGGCAGGAAGGTGGTCTGGATAGCAGAGGAGTGAACAGCAAGGGCTCTTGGTCAGAGCCATCCCCTCTCCCCCCAGGGATGCCTCTTCCCACAGCCGGGGCCCCGGCTGCCTCCAAGAGGCAAGTCAGCAGAGGGTTGCTGGGACAGTCACATCTCCCTTTGTGTTCACAGGGACCTTGTTGGATCCTGAAGGATTATATGATGAAGAAGTGTGCACTCCAGACAACCTACAGAAGTATGCAGTTCCTAATCCTCCCACATACTTTAGACAATTCCTTAAAAAGCCAGTTCATTGCTTGCTATTTAACATTTCACAAATTGAGGGGTGTTTTATGGACTGTAAAAAAAGACAGACCAGAACAATTTTTTACTGAAGGGTACTTAGGGAAGAAGAAAAAAAGGGAAGGAAAAGTGACTGCTTCTCTAAGACTAACAGAATTGGCTTCAAGGAGTGAAAAAATGAGAGCAACTGCAGTCGGTGGTTTTATGTAGAGTTGTCCTACCTGGACAGATTGGTAGGACTAGAAACTCCAAGCACTACTGAAAAGGGTACGGAGACAGCTTGTCTGAAAGTCCTTCTGCAGCCAGCCTGTCCTGTGGTCACGGCCCTGTCAAGGACAGCAACAAAAGGAGATGTAGTTTTCCTCAAATAAAAACAAAATCATAAAGTTTAAAACACCACCTCCCACCCAACCACTAATCAGCCATTCTAGAAAGCTTGAAGAATTCAATACAGCTAGAAAAGCAAGCTCAAAAATATAGAGAGGAATTAAGTAGCACATGAGACATTTATTACTAGGAATATGACTTAATGTCTATCTGTGATAGTGGTGCAGCATTACTTTTAAGGAGTGTTTGATACTGAGAAACGGGTTATCTGGTTTGAACTACTGGACTTAAGAGAAATACAAAAAAATCTTCATTTGCAGAAGTCTTAAGATAAACTTCTTGCATACCTGTACTGTTTGTTAAATAATAATGCCAGGGGAGAGAAATGAGTAAGCTTTGTACATTGCAGAGCAGCACTTAATGAATGTGATAATCCTTTTTGCACCTTTTCTACCCTGAAGACTAGTTTAATGGACTAAATATGCTGTTATCATGACTATGAAGGATGTTCTAGCTGTTCATTACCACAATATGCTAAACAGGTAAAGTTATTTGAATGGATGAGTCTGTGCAGATGCTTTAGTTAACATAACAGAAATGGTACATTATACAGGCACAGTTCGTGTAAGTACAGTACGCTGCATGGTATAGTTGGACACTTAGTTGAATGTATTACGTGAGGCTGCCCCTTGAAGTCTTCCTTGTTTCAGTTTTGAACAAAGAAATTGAATTTCAGACATAAGGTCTGGGTTTAGTTTGTATTCAAAAGAAGGATTTGTTACAGCAAGTCACACTTTGTGCATTCAAGAGCCTGCAAAATTTCCAGGCATTTCTGTCCATGTGCTGAAAACATGAATTTGGTACCTGTGAAAGGGATTTCTGGAAAGCAAAAGTAAGGTAATTTGGCTCTGCATCAAGTTTGCAAATGCAAATCTGTATGTGGGTGTAACATTCTATTTTATAGTTTCAAGAGCAGGCTTAGAGCTTTTTTAAAAAAAAAATAAAAAAACCCAAACCAAAACAAAAAACCCACCCTGTGTTCTCAATCAGGCTTTTGAGACAATCTGCCACCAAACTACTCGTGGGGTATTTTGTTTTACTCCCTGAAGAGTGACTTGTATTGAGCAATTAAAATTCCACTGACAAATACGTGACTGATAGATAAAGAGCCATCAAATGATCAATAAAGATTTAAGAGTATTGTCTCCACTACCTACATGTATGTCCAGCACCTCAGTATAACTAGATGATATTCTAGAGTGTTGGTAACAGAACATACTTAAGACTTTCTGCCTTCTAAAGGTGGCTTTCAGTTTTCTGCAATGTTACAATGTATTATAAATATATATAAATTGTATTATAAATAAGATGGAAAACCCCTCTATTAGACTGGAATTTCTCCTAGTTTCTTATGTAAATCTGCTGGGAAACAGGGATGTGCTTATATATGAGGTAAATTGTCACATCCACGAGAGGCCAAGAGAGCCTGTCCTCCCATCTCCACAAGGGACTAGTAAACAAAAATTGCCAGTCAGTTCAGTAAAATTTAAAGCCATTAATGGAATCTGGACTTTAAATACATTTAAATGTTAAATAGCAACAGAAGCTGTGTCTGTCTAGCTAACAAATATCATTGATACACAGCAAAATAGGGTATGGTTTAAAACTGATTCGCTCTCAAATTTTTCAATAATAAACCTTGATCGAGCTTTACAGTCATTTAAGTTGGCAGTGTAAGCTATCCAGAGAATTATTTCTTCAGCATTCCTCTCTAGTTTATAAATAAAATAAAGTAGTTCACATTACTAAACTAATTAGGCCATAAAAGCAGCAGAACAACTAGTTCTTAAATATCTCTTTCATGTTAAGTACAGCATACATAAAACATCGGCCCAGAAGAACATACTTGGTACAAATGAGCAAGTCATTTATAATTATAGAACGATTAATAAGCTAGATGTAACAATCTGGGCCCTGCCACACAGTGCTAGAAGCTGCACAAGCTTCTGCTCAGAAAGGCTTCATGGAATGCACACAATCTCAAAGATGATTGTCACCTTCAAGCAAAGCACTGAAATAAGCCCATTTTCATCTTTAAACTCTGAATAGAGTCTGGCACAGGAGAGCACATTACAACACCGTTAAGAAACAAGATTTAAATGCAGATTTTTCCAGTCTCCACTGCTGAACCATGGCTCACAATTATGGGTGACAGGCTGCAAAACCAGTAAGAAAAGTCATCCTGAACTCTGGTGCTTCTCACCTGAATGAGAGGTGGTCCCTCGAGCTTTATGAGGAGGGCTTTTTGCTCTGTGGCTCCCTTAGCTCCACTGCTCTTCATGCCCCTTTGTTCACTGCAGCTCCCGACAGCGCTACAACCAAACCACGGCCCAGAGAGCTGCTGACAGAATGTTCATACTGTGGAGTTCTTTGGGACTGTAGATCTTTCAAGGAAGAAATAAAGTTCCAATTACTTTTTATCCTCCCTTTCTTTGTGTCCTATGAATTAAGACAATTACTCTGACAAAATGCAGGTTCAGTTGTGCAACTTAGTCATTAGTTATGTTCACTTAAATTGTTAGCATTTAACTGTTAGCACAGCATAGCCAGATGTCCAGTACTTGTGTCTACTTCTTGTAGAGACAACAGGGAACCATTGCGTATTAAGTGGCATAAGTTTTAGTCAGAAGCAGATGCATACACATTTATAATTCGTTTTCCTCATGTATTTGAAATCAACATTTCCCTCCATGAGCAGTTGTGCAGGGCAAGTGAATAAAATTAATACAAGTAAGATTTTTTTTTTTAGTAGTACTGCAGTGCTAATCAGCAGTTTCTTCTACTTTGTTACTTAATTAGCTTTGCCAATTATAAATACAATTTTTGAAAGAGGTCAGTCCCATCAAAGAGCTTGCTTTCTTGAACCTAGAAAAAGAATTTCATGAAGTGAATCATTTGCAGTAGCTCTTTGTAGAATCAGTTTGCAAATGGGGCGTGGACAGCAAGCTATTTTAATGTGAATTGACAGATGATAGTCTAAAACTGAATAATACATAAAAGGAAGCTTACTTTCATAAACTGGTTACAACAAACTCCAATGAACCTTCAGTACCTCATTAAGTACAAAGGGGGTTAAGAAAAGTTCTGATTAAATAACTATGTGACTAAAATTTTGTCACATTTTTTGAAGGCACATAAAGTATTTCTGCTATGTGTCAACTGACCCAAACTTACAGATCCTAACACTACTGAGACCTAATCAATTGTAGCAAGTGCTGTTTCCCCTCTGCCACCATTCAGATCCTTCTAAAGAAACAAAATTTGACAAATAAAACCATCTGAATCTCAAGCATTAAAACACATCACAAGAGTCCGATGTTTGTCTCTTGTTTTTCCTTCATTCTGTACTCTCACGTGCATGCATTTAAAAATTCCTAAACCCAACCCCATAAAACCCATCCAAAGTCAAGTCTTAAAAACTGGGTGATCAAAAATATCTTATTTTTTTCCAAGGTGAAATTAAAGGCTTTGTACCTGCTAGGACCCCAGTTCATGGCTCAGTGTTTCTCCTGCGACAGTTGATGATGTAGCTTAATGGTGTAATCAACTCTTACAAGGGAAACCACAGAACCTTGAGCTCAGGTTTTGGCAGGTAAGTAAAGGAAAACTATTTTCAGGAGGCAGTTTTGAAAGTAGTTTGTGTTTTGAGCCAGACAGCAAAAGCACAGCCTATTCCATCCCTCTGCAGGCAGGGTTACCCTGCAAACCAGCTGCAGTGGTACCTGCTAATCACCGTGTGTGGTACCTGCACGTGCGGTTACCGAGTGCAACTCCTGCTTTTGCACGCACAGTTGTGTCTGGTGCCTTTAGTGCTCCTTTGGTAGGTCTTTTAAATAGACTACAATAAGGTAAACCAACTTTCCTTTTAAATGCAATACAACAGCAAAACCATACAGAACAGCACAGCAACACAGAATTATTGTAAAAATAGTGACAGGGACCTTTGTGGGCTATCTGGTCCAAAGTCACATTCAGAGCAGGGCTAACTTCAAAGTTAAATCAAGTTGCTTGGGGTCTTTTCTGTATGAAAACCTACTGTTAAGGTTTAAACGCCAAAACTAAAAATTTTAATGGAAGAGCTGCAACTTATTTTCCTGAACAAAAGACTGATACCTAGAAAACTGAATCTTGATTTTGACTGCTTCTGTACATGGTTTTGGGCTGGGTAATCTCCATGCAAGATGGGGCAGTACTAACACACCTGCTGAGTAAGTTCCTCACTGTAGAAGAGCTTAAACAGTGTCACAGTACAAGAATCAAATAAATTAGGCCATCATTAAAAATGCAGTAAGAATTTAGGGTCCAAGACACAGTAATCTGCTGCTGAGGCTTGCTCAAAACCAACTACCACGTGCCCATGTCTGTATTCCTGCAAACCATTCCCCATCCGTACCCTGTCTGTAAAGCTGGCTGGCTTCATTTCGGAAGGAGTTGCTCTGATCCAAATGGAGAGATTTGTATCAAAGGTACTCAGGTTTGTCCTCAAGTAATCCATGAAAGTTTCCTCCTCTGCTACACTTGGCAACACATCAGCAGCAGGGCTGTGGGCCGCAAGATACTACAGAGAGCAGGCAGGCAGGGTCCTGTCAGGTGTTTGTTCTGGGTACGAGGGCAGGTCCACCAAGTACAGCACCAGTGATGCCAATCCCTCCCTGAGGCTTTTAGAACAGTGCCAGCCATTAGCACAGCCTCCCAGTGGAAAACACATCTGGAGGAAGATGTGCTTTACAAGTTTAGCAGTCCTTCAGGGCAGGCACTACCCTTACCAGGGATTTGGAGAGAATCTAGCATAATGCATGAAGGGACAGAATGAGCAAACATTTAAAGCACTTGTTTTTTAATTAAATAGGGTGCTGGAAAGCGAAGAAGGAAGGAAAGGATACTTAGTCTATCCCACCAGCAAGAACCACAGTTCAAGTCAAAAGGGGAGAAAGGCATCACTGAAAGGAAATGGGAGGAGGATTGACTATATGCTCTATACCGAAGAAGGTCTCTACCTGGAATGGAAAGTGGTGAGTGTCACAGTTGACAAAAAGAGCCGTAACTCACACAACAAACTTGTCTGGATGGCACTGCAGCCTGTTCTGCTTGGGTTCAAACTCATACTCCAAGGATAACCTGCTGCTTTGCTGTTTTCTACTTCTGCATACAAGTACTGAGTTTGTAAACCTGTTACATAAATTTAAGATGAGTTTAGGGACTCTGGTAGCAACACTGGTAGATACCTTGCTCTTCAAAAACAAACCAACAAACAGCCTCATTTCCATTCCTGAAACTTTTGCCAGACTGTGTTTTGGCTTATGCTTTCTATGACAACAGTTTGAATGTTTTTTAATCTTTTCAAGTATCTGAATGTTCTTTTATTTTGCCTATGAAAACCTACCGAAGTTACAAGTCTGTGATATGGAGGCAGAAGTTGACACAGGCTAACCAGAATGAGAACAGGCACTCCCTGTCTGCTTCCTAGTGTAGGACCTTGCCATATACAGAATTCCACGATGAAAATGAGAAACTAGTTCACGCTTATTTACTGTACCCCATTGCAGCAGCTGCAGAAGGGCAGGCAACAGAGCAGTTCAGCATAGCTTTGTGCATGATACCTCAGTCTGCACTCTCTGCATGCACTCTGTGGACACAGCAGCTAAATTCTTTTAAAGCTTCTTGTTTCAGATGCACAAATGCCCATGGCACATCTGTACAGTAAACCCAGCTTACATTTTGCACAAACAGCAACAAAACCAGTATTTGAATAGTTTTGACCCAGATTAGGTCTTTGATAAGGCTCTTGCTGGCAACAGAATAACTACTAGAATATCTGTGCTTCCTGCGAGCAATTCCTCAAGTACTGGCAAAGTAAGTACCTGGCCCCTAGGAGGGGACAGATGCACTGTATGAAGTGAGCGTTAGGGTTGCTCCATCCAGCTGTCAGGAGCTGGGAAGCATGCCGTTATTTGCTACAGAACATTTAATTTGGTCCTATGAAATGCTGGGAGTCAGAGCCACTAGGAGCTGGGTTCCTGATCACCTTAAGTTTCCACAAAGCTTAACACCTCAATCTAATGAAGACAGGTTTACTTTTTTAGCTGCCTACGGTACAGCCAGCCTCTCCTCCCAGGTGAGTGCCTCTGTGCGCACATGGATTGATTACCTACTGCAGCACAACAGAGAATTTTTATCTGGAATAACACAGATGTTACTGTAATCGGAAAGAAAAGATACAACCGATTTCCTCCAGACTATTCAACTGTGTATGGTGTAAGTGGTTCACTGCATCGACTGTACCATGCTGACATGCCCCATATGGCAGGGAGTTTACCATTAGCCCAGCCAAGCCGGACTGGTCCCATACACCTACTAATACAGGGAAGTAGTTCAGAGTAAACTAAGCAGAGGCATAAAAGCTGAGTCCTGGCGCGTGGTATAACCAATCAGTTTTCCAATTCCTTCTTTCTTACTTTGTTTTCCTTCTCTAGGAAGTGGAAGAGTTCAGCTTTATTACCCAGTTAGCAGGCTTGACAGACCACCTACCGGTAGCAATGCGTCTTATGGTGTCTACAGGAGAAGACGACCCTTAAAACTGAGCAGCTTTGAGAGATTAGAAGAGGGAAACGTTACCGATATTAAGAAAATATCAGAGGATAAGAACGAACTATTCTGGTGCCACGTTAGGAAAGATGACCAGACCTGACCCAGGCTACTCTCAGAACGTACCAACAGTGGTGGATATAAAAAGGGAAGAAATTGAAGGGGTTGTGGCCAAGAGCCACTGTCACAGGTTGCTCAGGCAACAGGGCAGGCCTGTACTACAATGCTTTCACTGTGGACTGAACGGAACCAAGATGGAAGTCCTAATTCCTTCTGAACCAGTGCCATTCTTACTAAAACATGTTTTTATACTAATATATAGCACAATTTAGTTTGTAATTAGTCTGTGAGTTAGTGCTGCTCAATGGTTTTTTGCATCATTTCTTTGTATAACTAAGAAGCTAAAGCTTTTTTTCTTTTTTTAGCCTGTTAAAGTTGTAGTAGCGTGCTTGCATCAGTAGCATGCGCCCGCACTGCATGCCACTCTGAGGTAAAATAGTCAGTAAGATACCATGGGGAATATCAGAATGGAAACGAGTTCAAAAATCAGATACCAGCCAAAGCAAGGCATTCTGGGACTGGCAAACCCTTCTGTCATTACAGATAGGCCTTAAAACAAACAAACAAAAACTCTATTCAATTTGCAGACCAGTATCTTCCTGTCCAATTTAAGGATACTTAAAAGATTTGGAATTAAGACTTCAAGAACACAGTTCTACCCTTGTTCCAACTGTGTTCCCACTGAAATTACGAAGTGTTTTGTCTGAATAATGACTCCAGAATTGGGCCTTTAGCTTTC